TGTAAGAAAAGTATAAAGCAGCAATTGATATTATATCAACTTCTACTTACAACTGGAACCAGCAACATCTTTGCAAACATGTAGTTTTTATGTATAAATAAAACCCAACCAAGTTCATCTAACCAAAACCCCACCAGGCTCTGACCTGGCAAGCGCAGCCTGCAGTTCCTCTTCTTTCTTGGCTAGTTGGATTTTTAGCTCTTCAATCTGGGCTTGCAGCTCAGCTATTTGGTCCTGTAGATCTGTTGTTTCTCCATCAAGCTTTCTTTTAGCTTTTTCCAGTTCTTGACGGGTTTTCTCTTCCTTTTTCAAACGCTCTTTCAAAGAACAAGACGACATTAGATCAAAGTTTTTCAGCATGCTGCTTGTAAGGATGGCAAAAATACTGCAGCTAGCACTTATATTTGTAAGAATAACTGAATGACAAATCAGTAATTTTTTTTTATATCAGTAGAGGATTATTGTAATCTTCTTTTCTTGAAAGTTTGCTTTGCGTGACTAAGTTAGATAGCACATGAGTCTCTCCCTCCCTTCTGCAAGTCAGATTGATCTCTGAAAGGCATCAGGATACTCTATCCAAACTAGGAAGTGGAGATGAGTTATTTTTGATTGGAAGGACTCAGTTAGCCTAATCTACCCACCAACTATGGAAGAATATATCCTTTTGAGACCACACCCAAATTCCTCTTTGTTTGAAGGATGTTTTATTTTAATCCATGCAGAGAAAGCAAGTTTTCAAGTAAACAGGATTAAAATGTGCCCTTGCAAAAGTCTACTGAAGCCAAACACTTGAACCTAGACTGTAGTATTCCATGGGATACCCAGGGAGAAAAGGAACATACATCAGGGTCCTAGCAGTCAGTCATACAAGAGGCTATCGAGAAGCTTTTCTTCCCTTTGTTCACCTCTCTCCCCTACTCCCAAGATTGTACAGGCAAATGCTTCATCACCCAAAGCCTGTTTGGAGAAGGCAATCAAAATGCATCCAAGATTCAGAAGTCAAGGTCACTAAGTGACTAAGTCAAAAGATGGCTTGTGTAGCTTTTGAAGAACTAGGCCAGGGCTCCAAAGGTTTACTGGAGAATGTTACTATTTTAAGATACCCAAGGTAAAGCTTTCACAAGTCCCTATGTCATTTAGGGATCCAAATCAATAAAGACTTGGAATGTCTGCAATGAGCAAGGCAGAATCATGTTCAGACCCCTGCCTTATGTGCAACTGGCTCCCAATCTAAAAAAAATGTAGCTGTGTTACAGGTTGAGAAGCAGAGTTGGTTGCCATGCCTCCAATACCACACTAACACAGCAATATTTTTTCCAGTGTGGGAGCCAACACAGAGCATCTCACAATACACAGAGCCTTACACAATAGAGGTAGACCCTTAATGACTTCAGCAGTTTGAAATCCAACTGCTGGAAACTAGGGGGCTGTAAAGTCCTTCATAAGAATGTAATAACATCATGCTGAATCAGACCAATGATCTAACCCAGTATCCTGGTATCCAACAGTGTCAGTAGGCTTGTGCAAAGTACTTACCTTGGATTTGGATTTGGCCGATTCAGAGGGACAGCAATTCAATTTGGTGATTTGAATCGCTGTCCCGATTCGATTTGGCCGATTCAGATCTGGAGATTCAGTGCTGATTTGGAGGTTTAGCCATAAACTAAACAGGCATCAGTCTTGGACCACGCTGGACACAGCTGCCTCCAGCTGGAAAGTCTGTTGTGGTGGGTGGAGCGGGGAGAGCAGGGGTTGCGGGGTAGGCAGATCAATGCCCCCACAGCAAGGGAAGGATTGGGGCTGGGACAGGCTGCCCAGCTGGGGCGAGGGAGCGTGGGACTCAGGGAGGGGGGCTCCCACCACTGCATGCCGCCATTCCGGGAGCTGCTTTTCCAGTGGCTCCTCCGGCGGGTCTCACTGCCAGTCCAGAAGGGCATGGGAGTGGGCATGTGCCCCCAGATCTCTGCAGGGCAGGCTGGCCTGGGCTGGGCTGCGCTCTGGGAGGCTAGCCCCAGCTGTCTGCCATTGGGCTGTGCTCTGTGGGGCAGGTGGAGCCAGGGCGGTGCTCCAGACAGTTAGCCCCAGCTGCAACTGGGAGCGCTGCCCTGGTTCTGCCTGCCCTGCAGAACCTAGTGGAGCTGCAGCCACCCTAAAATCCCCCATAGCCCCTGCTGCCAGCCCCACCCCAAGTGCACTAGCCCACCCCCAAGCCCTGCCACTGCTCGCCCAGCCGGGGTGAAGCCACAGCTTGTCCAGGAGGCTGAAGCGGCTTCCACCACTGCATGCCGCTTGTCTGAGGCAGTGCAGTACTGTCCCGCTCCTCCCCACCCTGGCTGGGCAAGCGGCGGGTGGCATGGCCCTCACTCCCAGCACCATCTGCCTGGAGCTAGTCATGCCTGCATCGTGCCACGCCTCCCCAGCTGGGAAAGCAGCAGCAGGGCATAGCCCCCCGCTCCCAGTGCCTTAAACTGCTCATCCAGAGTGCAGCCCAGCAGCCCACGCCCACTCCCATGCCCTCCCGGACTGGAAGCAAGAGCCGCTGGAGGAGCCACTGGAAGAGCAGCTCCCAGACCAGGGGCACATAGCGGCGGGAGCCCCCCTCCCCAAGTCCCATACCCCCCCACCCCCACCCCAGCTGGGCAGCTTGTCCCAGCCCCAATCCCTCCCTTGCTGTGGGGGCGTTGATCTGCTCCCTCCCTCACCACACCCTTTTCCTTCCCCCTCCGCCCACCACATCAGACTTACCAGCTGGAGGCAGCTGTGTCCAGTGTGGTTGAGGACTGTTGCCTGTTTAGTCTATGGCAGAATCTCCAAATAGGTGCCAAATCGATTTGGAGGCTTCTGAATCGATCTGCACCTTTTAACGGGTCTCCCGATTCAATTTGTATATGCGGCCACCAAATCGGGCTGAATCCCCTCTGAACTGAATCACATTGCACAGCCCTAGTCAGAAGTGGATGCTTTTGGAAGAGCACTCAACTGGATACATCTAGAATGATCTATCCCCTATTCACTACCCACCCTGGCATCTACCATCATTGGTTTAGAGAGGCCAGAGGAAACACCTCTGATCATTCTGTTCAACAGCTATTAATAGATCTGTCATCCATTAATTACTCGAATCCCTTTTTGAACCTGGCTATATTATTGGTCTCTATAACACCCTGAGGCAATGAATTCCACAAATTAACTATGCACAGCTTAAAAAAGTACTCTCTTATTAGCTTTAAGCCTGTCTTACTAATTTCAGTGGGTGCCCCCTAGTTCTAGCAATCTGGGACTTGGTGAATAACAGCTTCCTGTTAACTTTGTCCACGCACTTCAAAGGTCTCTTTTCTGAATTTTAACAGCTGGTTCAGAACCCAACCCTGTGCATGTATAGTTTAGCTTATTTCTCCCCATGTGTGTTAACTTGCACTTGTCAACACTGAAGTTCATCTGCCAGTTTTCTGTTCACTCATTCAGCTTGGTGAGATCTTTCTGCAGTTCCTCTCCATTAGTTTGCAATTTAACTACCCAGAATAATTTAGTAACATCTGCAATACTTGGAATTTCAGTGCTCACCTCCATTCAACCCACAGGTCACTGATGAAAATGTTCAAAAGCAAGCCAAGAACAGATCCCTGCAGGACCCCACTTTTGATCTCATTCAATCCTGAACAGTGAATATTTAGGCCTATCCTTTGCTTGGTATCTTTTAATTAGCTCCCAATCTGTGAAACAACCTTCCTTCTAATCCTGTGGCAACTCAATTTTTAAAAAGCTTTTGGGGAGAGACCTTGTCAAAAGCATTTTTGAAAATCCCCCAAATTTAAATCAGCTGGATCTTCTTTGTCCACGTGCTCATTAAGACCTATAAATAACTCCAGCAAATTGGTGAAGCAGCATTTCCCTTTACAAACACCATGCTCTCTTCCCCAGCAGGTCATATTTGTCTCTGGTCCCCTCTATGCATTACATTTGTGCTGCACTGAATGTATTAATTGCAGCATAAGATGGGAGGCTGGGAGCAAGGTGCTGGGGGGTGGGCGGACGACACATGACGGAGTGGAGAGAGGAAGGGGGACTTCCTGATCTAATCCCTGCATGTCCAAGCAATATTCTTATACTCCTCCCTAGTTGTTTGTCCAAGTTTCCACTTCTTCTAAGCTTCCATTTTGTGTTTTAGCTCACTGAAGAATTCATTACTAAGCCAAGCAGCCTTTCTGCTATACTTGCTAGTCTTCCTGCACACTGGGAACATTCACTGGTGCAGGCTCCAGACTGACTGGCTAAGCAGCAGCTCTGCAGAAAAGCACCTAGGGGTTACAGTAGACCATAAGCTGAATAGGAGCCAGCAGTGTGCCCTTGTTGTGAAGAAGGCTGACAACATACTGGGCTCCATTAGTAGGAGTGTTGTCAGCACATCAAGGGATGCGATTCTTCCCTTCTATTCAACACTGGTTAGCCAACATCTGGAGTACTGTGTCCAGTTTTGGGCCCCTCACTATAGAAAAGATGTAGACAAATTGGAGAGTCCAGCAGAGGCCAATGAAAACTGTTCAGGGGCTGGGGCACATGACTTATGAAGAGAGACTGAGGGAACTGGGCTTATTTAGTCTGGAGAAGAGAAGACAGATGGGATTTAATAGAAGCCTTCAACTACCTGGAGAGTGGTTTCAAGGAGGATGGAGCTAGACTGTTCTCAGCGGTGGCAGATGACAGAGCAAGGAGCAATGGTCTCAAGTTGCAGCAAGGGAAGTTTAGGTTAGATATTAAGAAAAAATTCTCTCACTAGGAGGGTAGTAAAACACTGGAACAGGTTACCCAGAGAGGCTGTGGAAATGTCCATCCTTGGACAGAATGTTGGCTGGGATGATCTAGTTGAGGTTGGTCCTGCTTTGAGCATGGGGTTAGACTAGATGACCTCCTGTGGTCCTTTCAACCCTAATTTTCTCTGATTATGTTTCTACTTAGAAGCAGTTCTTCTCAAGCCTCAGATGTCCTAACATACTGCATTTAAGGAGAGACTTAGGTGTCCTCAAGTTGTTTCCCTGCTGCTAAATTCTTCAGGACCAGGGACTGAAACTGGGGGGCAAAGAGAACTTGTTTGTGGAAAATGCCAAAATCTTTAAAATCAGTTTGTTCATTGATCCTAAGCCAGAAATTATTTTTTAGAATAAAATTTAATAGGGGATTACATACAATGTTTAGTTTGCAAATGGCTGCATATCAAACATTTTGCAGTATTTCTAACAATACATATATAAAATCTGAAACAGTGCAAAGAATAGAAGGGGGAACTAAAGATAAGCAGAGCACTGGGAAAAGCAAAATAATAAAACTGTTTCAGATGAGAAGAAAGAAATCCAGGGTGTGTTCTATAACAGATCCAGTCACAGGATTAGAAATAATGGAAACAAATAAAAAGTGGTGAAGTGACAGGGACCTGGTTACCAGGGAAACTAAAAATTAGTTATCTGCAGTATGTCTTTCTTAACAAATACAGCCTGGAAGCCATTTATGAAGCTATTCATAAGAGGACATATTGTTATATTTTCACAAGGGAATACAGCATACCGCCTATGAACTTTAGCTTCCATTTTCTAGATAATCCTAGCAATACTCATTAACTACCAGTTATTGAGGCAGCTGAGCAATGCTAAAGCTGATGTAGGCATAGGGTTCAACAAGCATTCTTTTCCAGTGAGTAACTAAATTCACTTATGCTCATCTTAAGGCCTCTGAATAAAAGTAAAACAAAAGCTACAGAAGTCAGCTGCTACCCTTATTAATTCAATTTTTTGCTCAACTGGAGAAGATTCAAAAAAACGTATTTTTGCATAATAAAGTCAGTTATAAAATACGTAGCAAGATTGGTCCTAGTAGAGTAGGTGACAAATAATTTTCTAAATTAGGGTATAACAAGTAGCACCAAATTATTCTGCATAACACTTAGCTAACTGCTAAGTCAGAGTTTTATAACAAGCATTTTACACCCAGAAGTCATTTTGTTATCAATCAAATTTAAGATGGGGTTACATACAATATTGGCCTGACAAATGGCTACATATCAAACATTTTGCAGTATTTCTTATAAATATATAAAATCTGAAACAAGTATAAAAACCAGAAGAGGGCACTACTTAAGATAAACAAAAGCATTGGGAAAAGCAAAATAATTCAGAATTGTTTATTCGAGAATTTTGTTAGCCAAAATAAAAAAAAGTTAGCCAGTGACATTCTTTTTTTAAAAAAATGCCATTTTATTGTATTTAACATACAGAAGTGCAATTACTATTCCCAAGGACCTTTTGCTCTCCCCCTAAAGGATGCATCTAGTACCTTAATCTTTTTTTTTTTTTTTTTTTTTTTTTTTTTTTTTTTTTTTTTTTTTTTTTTAGGAGAGTTGGTAAATGAATGAGTTTATTAAAAATGAAGAATGAACAAATTAGTAAAAAATGGTACTATGCTGGTGCAGCCAGAAGCTACATCAGATTTTTGTTATTTTGCTGTAATTGGGACTTCAAGGTTAGAAACAGACACTGTTGATGGAGTGCAAATAGTTGCACCATGATATGCCATGGCACAGCTGGTTGCACAACATCTACAGATGTCCCCAGTTGCCACATCCCAACTTGGGGCACATCTGTAAGTGGGGAAACCCCCCACTTGCAGATGTGTCCCCTGTATTGGGGAGGAGACCCCTGTGGGAGTTTCCCTTCTCTGTGCTTGTGGGGGCAGATGAAAAACCTCATACATACATGTCTGCAAGTGCAGAGGGGAGAACTCCCACAGGAGACCCCCACTGTTTTTACAAGTGGGTACAGGGAAATCCCTTTGCAAGAAAGTTCCCTGTGTGTGTCTGCAAGTGCAGGGTGGGGAGGGGGGGAGG